AAAAAACCCAAAAAAACGTCATGCCAAAGAGAAAAAATTTCAGACTAAGCCAACTGAGTTTGGGTAGAAAATCTAATGTGTTGGTTATTGTCATCTCTTTGTGTTTGATCGGTTGGTGTTTTCCTCAATGGATGGACGATGTTGATGATTTTGTGACTCAAAATTTTCAAAAGAGAAATGAAGTATATATATAAAGATGTACCTGGAAGAATCCCCATTCTCTGCACGCAAAGTCAAGCTTGGCTAACTCATCTTCCACCGATCCCTGAGAAAGCAAGTTCTGAAAATCAATAACAGGGATTTCCAGCACTGAATCTGAACTGGAAACGATCAGTTGTTCTTGTTCAGGACGGATGTATCCCTCCGGGATGGCTGTCAAGGGCTCTTTTGCCAACTCTTGAACACAGGGGACTAGCAAAGAACTTCCTAGGCTCATTCCTTTTGATTCCATGCTTTCGTGACAACCTGGGATGTATGCAGTGCAGACAGCTTCTTGCTAAACTCTGTTCAGGAGTTCTTTCAACGTTCCAGGCTCTGAATATGATATATTCACTTATTTTAAAGGGATCCGGATCCAGATCCATAGAACCGTATAAAAGGGATCTCTAAAGGAGCACAAGGGAGATCCTCAAACTTTGAGTAAACTTTTTAATTAAGTCCTTATTTTATTTGTTTAATAAAGAAAAAGGAAAACTTTCGGTAGTCTTTGATAAGTTTTTCTTTACTAGACTTATCGAAAGAATTGACTTCTTAGTCATTAGTAATTAAGAAGCTGAGTGGTTCAGGGAAAATTGTTGAATTTTCTTAAAGAAACTGCCATTCAAAGTGAACTCGTTTAAGGTTAATTTTCTGAGCCCTGAATGTATACCAAATACAGAAAATATATGGATACAAGCTACGAGCATCATCCAGTTTTTCATGGATGACAACTACACTCCTAGATGGAGCAAATGAGACGTCTAATAAAACAAAGGAGAGAAATCAAGAGAGTCGATTGTTAGCTGAAATTGACATCAAATTTCAATCCTACTTCTTCTCGGGAACAGTGCGTCTCCATACTCCTGCCAAAGCACTACCCATGACTGAGTGACAAACACTGGAAACGGCACATGGTACAGCAGTCAGTGGATTTCCAAAGTGCTGAGTTGCAAGAAAAACTCCAAGAACTGAGTTCTGAAACATCAACGAGTTTGTAAGGAAACTAAGCTGCCTTTTAAAAAACAAGAAAATAAGATAGAAGTGAGTTATTTTTTGCCTTAAATGACTACTATCAGGAATCCCTCGGATAAACTAAGAGGAAGTGGTCATTTAATGAAAATCAAAATGGTATGAATTGTTTGTACCTGCATGCCAACTTCAATGGAGATGGTTCGTGATGATGCTATGTCAAGCCCCAGCATCCTAGAAAATAGATAGCCAAAGAGAAATCCAGATGTATGAAGAAGAGTCGCGGCTAGTATGACTTGTTTGCCAGAAACAAGGATTGTAGAAGCACTCTGAGCAATCGCGTGCCCACACAAAACAGCAACAGTTCCCACAGCAAGGGGTGGCATCAAGGGAGAGACAAATTTAACCAGGCCTTGAAAATACTGATTTAGGAATGAACCAACCAGGACTGGAAGAAGCACCACCTGTGGTCATAGAATGGAAGTAAAGGTAACCATACAAGTACATCAAATATATTGGAGGAATAGTGAAGTAGCAACAAGGCAGGAGACTTCACCTGCAGTGTTGAAAGTAGCAGCCCAGCTGCATCTACTGCAACATATTGCCCAGCAAGCTTAGCAGTGAGAAAGGGGGTCATGATCTGCATTGGAATGGGCAAAACAGGGTTTGTTTTGACATTATGAGGAAGAAAAACAGTTACTTGGATGATTGTATTTTCACTCCTCTGCTTTAAAACTTCTATTTTAGTGAGACTGCGCTGTGTCATTCACATTCTTATGTGATTCAAAGACAAAGAATTGAATCTTCTACACATCTTTTCACCATCCAAGGAAGAATGAAATAATTGATCAACATCTAAAATGGTCCTGCTGTATGCTTTATGGAAGTCCAATAGGTAGGAGATATTTACAAGTCACAAAGATACATTCAAGCTGTCATATCCAAATTCATAGAAGCAATTCAGCAATCCCTCAAAGCATAAAATATGATATTTCTCAATCATGAAATTGCCCGTATATAGATCTCATCAGAGGAAGGACAAAGATGAGGATCAATGAAAAATATTTCTAAGACACCACCTTAAGGAAAATATGTGCAGAATTAAATAGCAGCATTAGTTTACCAACCACAGCTGCGAGAGTGCTTGCTGCTGTCATTAACACTGAGAGTGCCACATTTCCTCTGAAAGAAAAAGAAGATCAGGTCTTCTGAGCACTGTACCCATAAAAACAAAAGAAACAAGAAAACTCAGGAATCTTCTAGCAAAGTTCACACACCGTGCAATATAAGTTACAATATTACTTGCTGTGCCTGCAAGCGATGAATACATCACTATAACGAGACATGGAGAGGGAAGGAAAGTAAATGTACAGAAATTAACTGATAATATGCTTACCACCAGGACAGCAACCGACCAATATCAAACCAGCAGCATAATGAGATGGCAGACCTAAGAGCTTGCTGACAACAAATCCAGATATCGGCATCACCTAAGACCAATCACCCATTGTCCTCTAGTTTAGAAGTACTTAAAGAAAAAAATAAAACAGAAAGTAAAATCGCCATTCACCTAATTGAGGCACTTTTGCTTAGTATAACATTGCAGTATTTGTCAATGGTTCTGCTTCAAATAGAAAACAAGTTCTCACAAATGAAGAGATCCATCTGAAGCAGGAAACTATATATCTAGAATATTGACATTATAAAAACTTCTAGATATACATGCAGTAACATAAACTATTTAGCTTTATAAGGGCATATTTTAATTTGTCTTTTTTTCCATATTCACATGTAAGCCCATGTATTTTATTTGCACTAATCCGTAGGTTTTTAATCAATGAAAAGTTAAATTCCATGGTTCAACAACAAAAGGTCAGCTCTGATTCTGACATGTGAAACTCTAATTTCTCCAATTCAAGAAATAAGATTTGAAAATTGGAAGTTAGATTGATAAGTTACTTGAGGGGTCAAAACTCACTTCATTTAATTGTTCGAGCTGGGAGTTAGAAAGTAAGCTTTACATCAACCTGATTATTCTCATATGTATGTGAGTTATTTATGACAATCTTTCTTCTTCAAATTAGCATAAGATATTAAGCCCCCCACAATTGTAAAATCATGTCTCAAAATGGTGTCAATTCTCTTTTGAGTCATAATGCTGAGAATGCGCATTACTTTTAAATAAGAAGCTGCTAAATTTCATGTTTGAAATTATATGTCATATTGCCTAGCGTGTGATGATATCTTAAATTGCATAAAACATGTCAGTCTATAAAGGAAATTTAGCACTATCATGTCCAATTAAAGGAAAAAATCTCATCACTTAAACCAATACGATTATCAAATACCTCAACATATACAAGAATCAATAACTTTAACAACCAACAGACATCCATATTCATTAACTAGTTAAACTTCACTAAATGCAACGATTTACAAAGGAGCAACATAAAAAGCAGGAAAAAGAACAAAAAGATTAATGTAATACAACATAAAAGCAGCAAAGAAAGAAAAACTGACCGAGTACTGAAGCACGAAACCAGAAAGCAACTGCTTAGGCATGGCCAAAGCACCACGAAGATCATCGAAAGTGAGAGTCATGCCCATTCCAGCCATGGTAAGAGTAAGACCAACCATGGTCCATCTGGGAGTGACCCAACCAAAGGAACTGGGTTTGACCAACCCCAACAGACAACCCAAAGACACCCACAAGGGAAACGCAGTTGATATCAATTCACTAAACCACTCAATCCAGTTCCTTAAACTCCTCCCATCACTAGCACTGTAACCATTCGATGAAATACCACCTTGAACAGGGGCAGATCTCTTGCACAACGAAATTCTATTTCTAGATAGCAACGAAGGGAAGCTAGTCTGGTATATCCTCTGTATTTGGAACTGGGATCTTATTGCCAGGTGATACGCTGATGAATGGAAGGATTTACGAAGGGAAATCCAGAAATGTTGGTGAAGTTTGGCCTTCTGTGATGAGGTTGAAGTGGGTTTTGTGTTCTGTTGAAACTTGAAGCTACTAGATAGATGAGAGCATGAAATTGATGAAGACATCATTTTCCTCTTGTAAGTTCACCACTGAGAAGTAAGAACTGTTCTTGACTTCTCAAGATCTTCCATTTTGTGCATAAGTCATTGACACTCTGAGTAATTGTCGGATTGAGTTGAGCTGTAAACTTATGGTGGTGTTGGTGATAATGGGTTCCCTCAAAAAGAAAAACATAATACCAAATATACCCTTATCGCTTTAGGTAGCATATGCATGCATTCATCATAAGCAAGCATATTACACAGGCCGGGCTCAAGATTCTGGATCTTAAATTTGCCCTATTGAGTGTCTCCATTTCTGCAATTAGTGCATCTAGTTTTCCTTTTCGGTGTCTCATTCTGTGGGTGGACAGCAAAGTTTCTATCTTTCAGCATCTCAATCTCTGTCTGGAGAGAAATGTTTGTTTCGTTCAGTGTCTAATTCTCTGTCTGGAGAGCAAGGATTGTCTGTACTTTGCAGCAGCTCAGCAACGGTAGCCAATAGGTCCTTCTGCATCTGTCTCCTTTTCTTTGGTGCCACCTTCTTGCTCTTTTCCAGTATCTCCTTTCTCTGAACTATCTCTGACATTCATCCTGATAAAACAAGCATCCAAGATTTAGACAAAATCAACTTTTCCTCCTCTCCCCCCTCCCCCCTTCCCCCTTTAGCAGTGTGACACAAAAACAATATTGATGGGGGAAGACGGCCTGGTATTTGGGACGACTCCTTTATCAATGGTAGGTTTATGCAGTCTAATAGAATTTAAAGTGCAACATAACATTTTTGGTATAGATTTTAATTGATCATTTGCAAATTTTAAAATAAAATTCTCTCAAATGAAAGTAGATTTTGCAACGTTGATGAGCAGGGATGATAAAACTATTCGCATACCAGAGAGACCACACATAAAATATGAGCTACAAACTCGCATTCTTCACAAAAATAAATGGCATGATCCGGACATCCATTTGTCTTGCAAGCATCGCAGAATTGGTCATTGTAATCATAACCATCTAAGTATTCCTTGAGAGTAAGAGGATATCTGTGATATCGAGTTTGAACAGTTTGTGGCAAAGGAATGCACTCAAAATGAAGACTAAAATCAGCAAGTATGAGAGGGTGATTGTGAGTGTGGAAAAGGGTTCGTATGTCCCGGGGCACATGATCGAGGCATGGTTGGCGAAATGAAATTTGAATTGCAGGATTCACAGCAAATGGCTTCTACACACATCCATTAAGAACAAAGACAACACTTCATGGGACCTACTACCTTCTCCTGAAGGCTCAGGAGACTGTATGTGGATGGACTGCTCTAAGGACATCTCAGGAGAACATAATATTGAAATCTGGAGAAACAGAAGGAATTAAAGGAAGCTAATCTCTTTCTTCATATGAGGGGTTCTTTGCATAAATGGAGACTTACAAAGCATGTCACTGAATTATAAAGTATCAAAAAATCGTGATGGCAGAAACAGCAACTTTGTAGACCTAAAAGAACATACAAACATCAAGGTTCTTATTATCCAGATTGTTCATGCACTGCCTGGGTTTTTATTATTATCGGACTTTAGATTTGATCTCTTCCAGCATTAAGATTCTGGATCTGAAATGTTTGAAAGGACTGACCCATTGTGTGTGTCCATTTCTGCCATTAGTGCGTCCACCATTCACTTTTAGTGTCTCTCTGTGTCCTCTTCTTCAGTGTCAATCTCTTGCTCTTTTCCAATATACCCTTTCTCTGAAGTATCTCTGACATTCATCTCCACTAATTTCCTCCTGCCTGGAACCAAGACCAATGCCGCCTCAAGAAAAACTGAAATTTACTAAACCAAGAGAAACTCAAGAAGACATGAGAAACTAAACCAAAGTCTGAGTGGCTCAGAAAAACATGGGCCAAATATCATAGAATTATCTAGGGATTACAGACAAAAGAGAAATCCAGCAACTGCAGATCTCTACTCTTAAAAGCACAATAAACAAAACTAAGATGTGTTTTTTACTCCTTTTTTTTATACATAGACTTCCCAATATAAAATTCATAAATGTATAACATCTGACAGGCTCAATTTAATCATCATGGAGGAGTCAATACAAACAACTGAATAAGAAGATGCCTTACTAACAACAGCATAATGCATTTTCTAACTAATATGAACCTGTAATATCTTAAAGTACAAACTCCAAAAAGTTTACCATGCGATAATGGTTCAATCTAAAACCTAAATATCTAAATAAGTTGCATCTCAAAAATACCCAATGAAACCCCTTAGAATGACTTGAAAATAACTCTATCTGTGTCCTTGAGCTCGTTGCATGTCATATGCAACCCAGGAACCAGGGGCTAGTCCATACTGAGGATAACCTTCTGCACCAGCCTGAACCTGGAATGACTATTATGAGAAAACATTTTCTAAAAGAAAATAATTCATAGATACATCACATGCAGGTACAGCTTATTTACAATCCACTATCATAATCAAAATAATACAAACGAAGACATGATGAGACCATAGGCAGGGCAGAAAAACTTACAGGAGTCATGCCATAGCTGGCAGGATAAGGATTTACAGTATATGCAGCTTCAGGGTTTCCAAAATTTGCATTATAACCTGCACTTGCTGAGAATATTAAAAATAAACAAACAAATAATAAATTTAACAGGATATAAAATTAGCTTTCAAATGGTTAGGAATTAAGCTCCAAAATCAGAAGACATTTGATCATCTTTGTAAGCATAAGGCATCATCATAGCACAAATAC